GGTTGCTCCTGTATTGGGTGCGTATATATTTAGGATCATTAGCTCTTCTTGTTGCATTGATCCTTTTACCATTATGTAATATCCTTCTTTGTCTCTTTTGATCTTTGTTGCTTTAAAGTCTAATTTACCAGAGATGAGAATTGTAACTCTTGCTTTTTTTTTTTTTTTTTGCTCTCCATTTGCTTGGTAAATCTTCCTCCATCCCTTTATTTTGAGCCTTTGTGTATCCTTGTATGTGAGATGGGTTTCCTGGATACAGCACACTGATGGGTTTTGGCTTTTTATCCAATTTGCCGGTCTGTGTCTTTTGATTGGGCCATTTAGTCCGTTTACATTTGGGGTTAATATCGTTATGTGTGAATTTGATACTGCCATTTTAGTGCTAGCTGGCTGTTTTGCCCATTAGTTGATGCAGATTCTTCATTGTGTTGATGCTCTTTACCATCTGGCATGTTTTTGGAGTGGCTTGTACTGGTTGTTCCTTTATATGTGTAGAGCCTCATTCAGGAGCTCTTGTATAGCTGACCTGGTGGTGAAGACATCTCTGAGTACTTGCATGTTCCCAAAGGATTTTATTTTTCCTTTACTTACGAAGCTTAGTTTGGCTGGATAGGAGATTCTGGGTTGAAAGTTCTTTACTTTAAGGATGTTGAATATTGGCCCCCACTCTCTTCTGGCTTGTATGGTTTCTGCTGAGAGATCTGCTGTGAGTCTGATGGGCTTCCCTTTGTGGGTAACCCGACCTTTCTCTCTGGCTGCCCTTAGTATTTTCTCCTTCATTTCAACCCTGGTGAATCTGACGATTATGTGCCTTGGGGTTGCTCTTCGTCAGGAATATCTTTGTGGTGTTCTCTGTATTTCCTGGACTTGAATATTGGCCTGCCTTGCTAGGTTGGGGAAGTTTTCCTGCATAATATCCTGAAGAGTATTTTCCAGCTTGGATTCATTCTCTTCGTCGCATTCAGGTTCACCTATGAAACGTAGATTAAGTCTTTTCACATAGTCCCACATTTCTTGGAGACTTTGTTCATTCCTTTTTACCCTTTTTTCTCTATTCTTGCCTTACTGTTTTATTTCATTGAGTTGATCTTCGACCTCTGATATCCTTTCTTCTGCTTGATCAATTTGGCTGTTGATACTTGTACATGCTTCGTGAAGTTCTCGTGTTGTGTTTTTCAGCTCCATCAATTCACTTATATTCCTTTCTATTTTGTCCATTCTCATTAGCATTTCGTCAAATCTTTTTTCAAGGTTCTTAGCTTCTTTGCATTGGGTTAGAACATGTTCTTTTAGTTCACAGAAGTTTCTTACTACCCACCGTCTGAAGTCTGATTCTGTCATTTCATCACACTCGTTTTCCATCCAACCTTGTTCCCTTGCTGGTGAGGAGTTGTGATCCCTTGTAGGAGGAGAGGTGTTCTGGTTTCGGGTGTTTTCATCCTTTTTGCACTGGTTTCTTCCCATCTTTATGGATTTGTCTACCTGTCACCTTTGTAGTTGCTGGCTTTCAGATTGGATTTCTGAGTGGGCATTCTGTTTGTTGATGATGAGTTTATTTCTGTTTCTTAGTTTTCCTTCTAACAGTCTGGCCCCTCTGCTGTAGGTCTGCTGAGGTCCACTCCAGGCCCTGCTTGCCCGGGGATCACCAGCAGCTGCAGAACAGTAATGGTTGTTACCAGTTTTCTTCTTCTTTGTCCCAGATGGATACCCGCCAAGTGTCAGTCTCATCTCTCCTTTATGAGGTGGCTCTTTGGATATACAGGGGTCAGGGAGCTACTTGAGGAGACAGTCTGTTCTTTATAGGATCCCAGATGCTGAGCTGTGAGCTCCATTGTTCATTCAGAGCTGCTGGGCAGGTACCGTTTAGGTCTGCTGCAGCAGAACTCATAAACCGCTTTTTTGTTCCCAGGTGATCTGTCCCAGGGATTTAGGGCTTTATTTATGAGTTTCCGTTATGCTAGTGCCTTCTTTTTTTTTTTTCCTTCAGAGCTGCCCTGCCCAGCAAGGAGGCAGCCTAGTCACTGTCTGCCTGTAGAGGCTTTGCTGAGCTGCTGTGGCCTCCACCCAGCTGCTGAATTAACTTCCCTGCAGTCCTCTTTATATGGGTGTAGTTAGAACTGCCTTGGCAATGGTGGCCTGCCTCTGTTAAGGTGGAGTCTCTCTGTAGTGGCAGGTTGCCTTGGCAACAGCGGGCTGCCTCAGCAATGGCGGGTTGCCTCAGCATTGGCTGACTACCTCCGTAGTTTTGGACTGCCTCGGTAATGGCAGATGCCCCTCCCCCACAAAGCTGGACTGTCCCGGGTTCAGTTGCGCTTGATGTGAAACTATCAATCCAGAGAGTTTCTGATTGCTGTTCTTTTGTGGGGGTGGGACCAGCCAAGCCTGATCACCTGGCTCCCTGCCTCAGAGTCTTTTTTTTTTTTAAGTTGGTGTTCCAGTTGCCTGTTGAAATGGCGCCGGGATCTGTGTGTTTCCCCGTGTGGCGACTCACTGCGCTCACTTAAACAGCATCACTGAGATGCATGGCGCTGTTTTTGCCCTGGAATCTACTGTCCTGGTTCCCTGTTCAGTCCCCTTTTTAAACAGATGAATGGGTGACTTCCCGTGGCTCCAATCGCCAGCCAAAAGGGCACCCGGACCAGTGTATTTTGTACAGAGAACCTCTACGCTGGGGTGCTGACAAAGCAGCTGCGTGGGGCAAAGCAGCAGTGCTGGCCATCACAGCTGTGCTGGCGGAAACAGCCGCGCTGGCGACACGTGGAGCTCCTCCGCCTGGGAACTTCCTAGTCTATGGGCAATAAAAATGCGGCATCCACTCACCCCTCTGTGCTTTCACTGGGAGCTGCAATCCTGAGCTGTTCCTAAACGGCCATCTTGGATCCACCCAAGAAACCTTTCAGTCTTTTTAATACAGTTTCATATATGGAACTTCCTCTATCTGATAAAGGATATTTTCCAGAAATCTTTAGAAAATAACATGCTTAACTTTGATACATTAAACATTTGAATATTCTAATTTGTACATTGAAATTTTATTTTTAGTAACTTGATACCTTGGAACCATTTTTACAAAGTCAGGAATGTGATAAGGGCATTTGTTGTCACCAATAACCTTCGACAGTATACTTAAGATTCTGGTTAATGTAATAAAACTAAGGTAAAGCAATAATGTATATAAAGTTTTGTAAGGAAAAGACAGCTTTAATTTTCCTAGAATAATGTATCTAGGAAATGGAAGAAAATTAAGTAAAAATCTTTAATAACTAATAAGAGAGGTAAACCTAAAAAAAAATACCTTTTCCAAATACCAGCAATAGCCAATTTGAAACTATAATAGAGAAAATGAGGGTCTTACCGTGATAAGAAATAAAACAATAACAACAAAATCATAAATGCTAAGCAATAAAACTAACAAGAAATGTGAAATTCTATATAGATACAATTTATAAAATGTTACTGAAGGGATATAACATATTCATGTTCTGATTTGGAAGACATAACACAGTAGTTCTCTCCAAATTAATGTAGTCAGTGCATTCCTCCAACAATCAGAATGGGATGGGGTAGGTGCAGTGGTTCACGCCTGTAACCACAGTAATTTGGGAGGCCGAGGTGGGTGAATTTCCGGAGCTCAGGAGTTCAAGACTACCCTGAACAACATAGTGAAATCCTGTCTTGACTAAAACACACAAAATTAGCTGGGCATGTTGGGGTGTGCCTGTAGTCCCAGCTACTCAGGAGGCTGAGGCACAAGAATCGCTTGAGCCCCAGAGACAGACGTTGCAGTGAGCCAAGACTATGCCACTGCATTCCAGCTCGGCCTGCAGAGTGAGACTCCGACTCAAAATAAATAAATATAAAGAATGAGATGACGTTTCATAATGGAATTTCAGACTACATTAAAAGAAAAAAGGAAATATGTAAAGAGCACGGTACTGGTACCAAAACAGACATATAGACCAATGAAACAGAACAGTGGCCTCAGCAGTAATGCCATACATGTACAACCATCTGATCTTTGACAAACCTTACAAAAACAAGAAATGGGGAAAGGATTCCCTCTTTAATAAATGGTGTTGGGAAAACTGGCTAGCCATATGCAGAAAGCTGAAACTGGACCTCTTCCTCACACTTTATACAAAAATAAGACCTAACACCATAAAAACCGTAGAAGAAAACCTAGGCAATACCACTCAGGACATAGGCAAAGGCAAGGACTTCATGACTAAAAGCAATGGCAACAAAAGCCAAAATAGACAAATGGGATCTAATTAAAGTGAAGAACTTCAGCCCAGTAAAAGAAACTACCGTTAGAGTGAACAAGCAACCAACATAATGGGAAAAATTTTTTGCAATCTACCCACCTGACAAAGGGCTAATAACCAGAATCTACAAAAAACTTTAAAAAATTTACAAGAAAAAATTTAGACTAAAATTGAGAAATGAATATGGGACACACAAAGACCTTTGATAATGCCATCAAAAAGTGGGTGAAGGATACTTCTCAAAAGAAGACATTTATGGAGCCAACAAACATATGAAAAAAAGCTTATCATCAGTGGTCATTAGAAAAATGCAAATAAAAACAACATTGAGATACCATCTCATGCCAGTTAGAATGGTGATCATTAAAGAATCAGGAAACAACAGATGGTGGAGAGGATGTGGAGAAATAGGAATGCTTTTACACTGTTGGTGGGAGTGTAAATTAGTTCAACCATTGTGGAAGACAGTGTGGCGATTCCTCAAGGATCTAGAACTAGAAATTCCATTTGACCCAGCAATCCTGTTACTGGGTATATACTCAAAGGATTATAAATCATTCTGTTATAAAGACACATGCACATGTATGTTTGTTTCAGCACTGTTTACAATAGTAAAGACTTAGAACTAATCCAAATGCACATCAATTATGATAGACAGGATAAAGAAAATGTGGCACATATACACCATGGAATACTATGCAACCATAAAAAAGGATGAGTTCATGTCCTTTGCAGGGACATGGATGAACCTGGAAACCATCATTCTCAGCAAATGGACACAAGAACAGAAAACCAAACACTGCATGTTCTCACTCATAAGTGAGTGTTGAACCATGAGAACACATGGACACGGGGAGGGGAACATCACACACTGGGGCCTGTCAGGGAGTAGGGGGGTAAAGGAGGAATAGCAGGGTGTGGGAGGATTGGGGAGGGATAACATTAGGAGAAATATTTAATGTAGATGAGCTGTAGATCCACTGCCAGGGATGCAGCAAACCACCATGGCACGTGTATACCTACGTAACAAACCTGCATGTTCTGCACATGTATCACAGAACTTAAAGTATAATAAAAATAAATAACAATAAAGTAAAAAGATACGCATAAGTATAGCCAAAAACGTTTTAAAGAAACAATTATAATAAAGGAGCCTTCCTTTAGGAGCTATCTAACATTCTATCAACTACAGTAGTAAAAATAGTACAATTGTAGCATAGAAATAGGCAAATAAAACAGAGATAGAGAGTAAAGGAGTAGACCTATATATGATAGGTGCACCCAAATCTCAGAAATTACCAGTAAAAAACTTATTCATGTAACCAAACACCACCTGTTCCCTAAAAACCTACTGAAATACAAAACAAATTTTAAAAAATGTATAATCTATTCTTTTAAAAAAGAAGTAGACCCATAAGTAGATAAACTTTTGATTTATAATAAAGACAATTTTAAATTGGTATAAAAAAAGCCTACAAATTTTCAAGTTGTTTTGAACAATTATCTGTTCATTTGGAAATTATAATGTCATCTTCAGACCTTACATCATTCGCTAAAATGAATTCTAGATTAATAGTTAAGTATAATCAAAATTATAAAAAGCATTTGTGAAAAAAATGTAACTTAACTGTGTTAAAAACCTTCTTGTAAAAGATATGAAGCCCAGAAGCTATAAAAAGGAAAAAAAAGTGATTTATTTTTATGTTGAGTTTTAAACTTAGTGTTCAAAAGTATAGATTTTGCAGCCAGACTGCCTATTGTTTAGATTCTGGTTCTGCAACTTGGTTATATGGCTTTGGGTAAGTTTGTAATTGCTCCCTGCCTCGGATTTTTACTTGTACATGACTCAGATTTTTACCTGTAAACTAGAGAAGGTAATAGTACCTTCTTCACAGGACCAGTGTAAGTCATATATGAGTTAATATGTCAAGTACCTTGGAAAGTACTTGGCTCAGAGTAAATATTTTATATATATTTGCTACTATTAAAAAGATAAGTTGAGAAAAAGCTATTTTCAATATATAGAATCCAGATCCAGAATACATGATGAACTCTAACAAGTCATTTAAAAAATCCCAAAAGAAATATAGATAAAGGACATGAACACACAATTTACAGAAGAAAAAATTATATGACCATACCTACTTACACTAAAAATAAAAGAAATGCAATTTAAAAATGACAGTAAAAAATATTTATATTATCACGTATTGCCAAAGATATGAAGAAATGTTGATAGAATTATAACTTGATGAAACATTTTGAAAGGCAACCTGGAAGTATCTGTAAAATGTAAATGGCCTTTCATTATTTACAACAATTCTACTTTTAGGAATGTATTTCAGATAAATATGCTCACATGTGTACCGATATGTGTATACAAAGGTTTTCTTCAACACTGTTTACAACAAAGAAAGAATTATAAATAACCTAAGTGTCCATCCCCATGGAGGGGATTCAATAAGGTATCTCTAATTCAATAAAAACAATGCGATTGTTGTGAAAGAATAACGTAGTCCTATATACATACTTCAAGTTCTATTTAAAAAGTAAAAAGTCTGTTATGAGTTACTACACTCTTATTTAAAACTAAATTTAATGTTAATGTTTACATATATTATGTAAATACATAGAAAGTTAACTGGGTGTCTATCTACCCAAAGGTAACTCTACTAATAGCTGGAAATCAAAAGACGAGTGTGAAGAGGGCTGCTAAATGTAGATAAGGACATGGGAATTAAAGATTTTTTTTAGGGCCAGTCACGGTGAGTCACGCCTGTAATTCCAGAACTTTGGGAGGCCGAGGTAGGCATATCACTAGATCAGGAGATCAGACCATCCTGGCTAACACGGTGAAACCCATCTCTACTAAAAATACAAAAAATTAGCCAGGCATGGTGGCAGGTGCCTGTAATCCCAGCTACTTGGGAGGCTGAGACAGGAGACTTGCTCAAAGCCAGGAGGCAAAGGTTTCAGTGAGCTGAGATCACGGTGCTGCACTCCAGCCTGGGCAACAGAGCGAGACTCTGTTTTTTTTAAAAAAAGGTTGTTTTAGAAGTGAAAAAGGATAGAGAAAGCACAGATAACAAGACATAGCTTCTTTTCTCCACAAGAATATAATAAAGAATGGGTGATAAAACAAGTTACTAAAATGTATTTATTCAAAAATCTACACCCAGAGCTATACCTGTCAATTTAGAATTACCATGAGGTTCAAATGAGAGAATACATATAAAGGGCTTACCTGGCACACTCTGTAAATATTTACAAAACACACACACACACACACACACACACACACACACACACACACACACACTCTTTTATTGTAAAGAATGAAAGAAATGATGCTACTGGCAAAGAGCTGACTTTTTTTCTCCTGTGCATCAGTACAGTTCCATAGAGCTCAGCATAGGATATCCTTCTTGCTCATATGCTTATTTCTATGCAGTCTGCTTCTGTCCACTACAGTGAAGCTCAACTGCTGGGAGTTATTTTGTTACATGCTGTTTCCTCACTGCTTTGAATAAGGCTTGGCAAGCAGTAAGAACTCAAAAAAGTTTCCTTGAATCATAATTTCTTTCTGCCAGTGCTTATCTCATACTGATTAATGTATTTCTTGCTATGGTGAATGCCTGAGTGATAATCCCTAGCTACTTCCCGAGAAAACATTTCAAAACAGGAGTTCAAGTTCTGTGCTTTCACTAATATCTTAACTTGCTAAAAACATTTGACCAAATTCAAGTTATTCAAAGTGGCTTCATTAGCTGTTTTGCCAAAACAACAAAGAAATGAATATTTTGAATAGATGTAGACTTGCTCTTTCTATGAAATATCTATCCAAATGGGAATTATAAAATGAAATGGTGTTAATTCTCAGAATCCCAGAGCAGCATCTAGGCTTGCCAAGGCAGGCAGGCATCATTGAAGAAAAGATACTTGCCTTCAATTTTTTGATATAAACTATCTAGAGTGACCAGAGAAATACGAAAATACCAATTGGCAATGTTTGTTTAAGTTAATGCCAGAGGGTTTTTCTTTTATCTTTTCATGGAAAGAATTCTGTTGTCAAAATAGGCTGTGCAGGGAAAAATAAATGTGTGTTAAGCAAAAGGCTTCTGCAGTTTAATTTCCTCTTGCAAAAAGTAGGAAAATCTACTGTAGGTTGAATTCCAGACAACACTGTTGGTAGTTTGTGTGTCATCAGATCTTTGGGATCAATTATTGCAGATTGCAAAATCTTGAAATTTGTAATTACAAAAACAGGACAGTTGAAAATAGCTTGATGTGAACACCTGCCACTTACCCCTTTTTCTTTGGTTACGTTTGTCTTTTACTTATTAATTGGTAAGAACCCTTTATATAACTGGATATTAATTCTTTATTCATCTTCTAAATGCTTTTTAGCAAACTTATTTTCTGCTTTAAATTTTATGTATGGTATGTTTATTTTCTATATAGAATGTTTCCATTTTTATGTCATTAACCCTGTAATTTTTTGTTCTAGTTTCTGGTTTAATTTTTATGTTGAGAGAGAGCATTCCAAACCAAAATAATTAAAGAAATAATACTCTATTGATTCTTATGGCTTTCTTACTAAAATTAAATATTTGCTAAATCTATAATTTAGCATACAGTTAGAAGTCTTGATTTCTTTTCAAAAATGGTTTTACATTTTTCAGTAATGTTTCTATTATTAAAAAAAACAAATTTACATTCTACCTTTTTCATTTACTAAATTGATGTGTATACTTGGGTCTTTTAATTTTTATTTTATTTTGAGATAGAGTTTTGTGCTTTTGGCCCAGGCTGGAGTGCAGTGGCACTGATCTCTGCTCACCGCAACTTTAGCCTCCAGGGTTCAAGCAGTTCTTCTGCCTCAGCCTCCCAAGTAGCTGGAATTACAGGGGCCTGCCACCATGCCTGGCTAATTTTGGGGGTATTTTTCATGGGGGGGGGTTCGTCATGTTGGCCAGACTGGTCTCGAACTCCTGAACTCAGGTGATATACCCTCCTTGATCTCCCAAAGTGCTGGAATATAGGCCTGAGCCACTGCACCTGGCCCTTGAGTTCTTTTGTGAACTGTTAGTCCATTTACTTGATCCTTTTGTCAAGCATACTATTTTAATATCTATCAGGGAAAATCCTTTATTTTCAGAATTCTTCTAGCTGTTTTTACATGATTCTACTTCTAGATGGGTTTGGGAGTCCGAGGTGGGTGAATCATCTGAAGTCAGGAGTTCCAGACTAGCCTGGTCAGCATGGTGAAACCCCGTCTCTACTAAAAACACAAAAAATTTAGCTGGACGTTGTCCTGGGCACCTGTAATCCCAGCTACTCAGGAGACTGAGACAGGAGAATCAATTGAACTCCGGAGGCGGAGGTTGCAGTGAGCTGAGATCGTGCCGCTGCACTCCAGCCTGGGCAAGAGTAAAAAACTCTATCTCAAAAAAAATTTTTTTTCACTTCTTAAAAAATACTTATATGACTACATTCTTACTATAAACATTTAAAACAAAATACAGAATGACATATAATCTCCTCTTCTTACTTCCCTATGGCTAATACTTTTCAGTGTATGTTTCTAGAACATTTTCTATTCATTTACTTAAACATATATGCTTATGTACATTTTAACATAAATGGAGCTATACAATAATTACTGCATTGGGCTTTTTAAACTTTGTATTTCTGATCTATGTCAATATGTAGCATTTTCCTCATTGTTTTATTAAGATACATATCATATATATTTATGAAGATACACATGCACATATATGT